ATATATGTCGCACAGTAGTGTGATCTCCCGAATTTTTTTCCTGGACAGCGGCCAAAATATTTGCTGGTCTCGCCTGCACATCAGTCGTATTACAAATAATATTTTTTGATGACTGGCTGATGCCGCTAAACTGTCGATGGCCCTCGGGATACACATCAAATGAATGATTATGAAATCCCTTCTTTTCGTCTTGACTCGATGATCATCCAGTACGTCGTTCCTGCCACCTTTTTTACTTTTATCTCAAAAGGCCTCTGGCACTTGTTCGTTTTTGTACGTCTACGTTTTTGCCTCTATAGCGTTCGCCTCGTTTGCACTTCAAGATCTTCTTCACCTTTTCTCCTTTTGTGTGTTTCAAAATAGTTATTTCGAAACCATTCAGATTTGTCGTATATTTTGCATCGTTAATAGCATTCTCATCATTGTAAAACATTTTTTTTTGTTTTTGGTATAGAAAGCGGAACTATAATCAATACCATCTCCTCCAAAATCTTCCAATGACACCTGCAATATATTACAATATTTATAATTTCAAAACATGTTAAATTATAATCTATACATAATAATTTATAACTTCTAACACGATAATTATCTAATGTCCAATTTATAACATAATAATTTCTAACTCCTAACACGATAATATCTAACGTCCAATTTATAACATAATTATTCGATTGTACAACATAATAATTTCTAATTCCTAACGCGATAATATCTAACTTCCAATTTATAGATAAATAAGTCTAATTAATTTCTAACTCCTAACACGATAATAATTAACGTCCAATTTATAACATAATTATTTCAAATATATAACACAATAATTTCTAATTCCTAACACGATAATATCTAACGTCCAATTTATAGATAAACAAGTCTAATTAATTTCTAACTCCTAACAAGATAATATCTAACGCCCAATTTATAACATAATTATTTCGAATATATAACATAATAATTTCTAATTCCTAACGCGATAATATCTAACGTCCAATTTATAGATAAACAAATCTAATTAATTTCTAACTCCTAACACGATAATATCTAACATCCAATTTATAACATAATTATTTCGAATATGTAGCATAATAATTTCTAATTCCTAAAGCGATAATATCTAACGTCCAATTTATGACATAATTATTTTGAATCTATAACATAATAATTTATAATTCCTAACGCGATAATATCTAACGTTCAATTTGTAACATAATTATTTCGAATCTATAACAAAATAATTTTTAATAATATTATTTAAAAAAATAAAAATTAAAAAATAAAAATAAAAATAAAAATAAAAGTGTCCGCGGTCGGACTGGACGAACCGAGTTATGTCCGGTCGCCGCCTCCGTACACAAAGTAGGTCGTACGGCCGGCCTTTTAGGACAAGGACCGGTCCGTACGGCCCGAGATCTCGTACGGACACGGTCGTGTCCGGTCACACCGACCGGACGACCTTTAGTCGGTTGGACACGGCCGGTCACGTAACATTTCGCCGGACGAAACAAAAAAAAAAAAATTACCTCTGAGGAACTTGACATTGTGCTGGAGAGAAAAAATGAGAAGGGCAAATCGTCCATGAAGTACGGTGACTAGTAATAGGGGGTAAATAGTAATACCCTTATTATATAGAGTTAATTGCTAAATAAACCTTAACCTTTTTGCGTTTGGCAATTATCTCAATCTTTGGGTAATTGCAATATAATCTTCACCTCAATTTACTTATTGCAAGTCGAACCTAAAACTGTTTGGACCTTCAAAAAACTGGTCGATTTGAAGGAGGTTCGAACAGATCGAAGATCATATTCACCGATTCACTCCAGATCTAGGATGCGACTCATCACCGGTAGCTTACATTGACGTGGAATTTTTGGCTTTGTGCTTGGATATACATTAATTACGTGGAAATTGTCAACTTGCTACATGGATGGCATAAAATGCCATGTCAATTGAAGACTTGGACACAAAATCGATCCACAAATCTCTATAGTCAATCACTCTGAACCCAAATTTGCAGTAAGTAAATTGAGGTCGAGATTATATTTCAATTATCCAAAAATTGGGATAAAATTACCAAACGCAAAAAGGTTAACAATTAACCCTATTATATATATCATTCCCAACAATATCTCATTCCCCTCTCTCCCCTATTCAATTCCTTGGTTTCCTTTGACATTAGTCAATGGATACGAATGGGATATATATGTAATTTAATCTAGCACAATTAATCTAGTTTCGGTGTTTCCACTGTCCTGCAGAATCAAAGAGAGAGAGAGAGAGAGAGGGAGAGAGAGAAAGAGAGAGAGAGAGAGAGAGAGAGAGAGAGAGAGAGAGAGAGAGAGAGAGAGAGAGTTGCAGAAATGATTCGAACGAGATTGTTATGGTTCAGTCTGGGCTTTGCCTCTACCTCTGGAGCCATCGCCCAATTTATTTTCAAAGATCTATGGCTCGAACGTCATTCTCTCGCATCTCAGGTGATCCACCGACTTGTGTGTGAACCTTATCATACAGCCCATCGATCTATGTGTGTATGTAGTATCTCTCATATTGTCTTGTTCTGCAATCGTATGTGCAGTTGAAGGAAAATTTTAATTCATTGGATGCGAGAGTGTCCAATCTGGAATCACTCATTTCTAGCAAACCCTCACCGGTCCAGGTTTTTGTTTTTTTTTTTTTTTTCCCTTTGTTCTCTCGCTGCCCTTTTCGCCATCCTTGTTTATTTTATTGCAGTTTATGAAGTGAATTGGAAATGGAATTAGTGTCTGAATGAGTCAGATCATAAGGTATATATGATATATTGTATGTATTAGATGCTAAAATGTTTGTTGCTATGGAATTTGCATCTGTTTCTGGTGGTTTAGCAAGTAGGAACTGTGTCCCATGCTCCATAAATGAATTGTGCAATTTCACTTTTCTTTATTGTGTATACTCCACGCTGTTTGAAATGCATGATTTTGTTTGTTTATTTGCTTTTTTTTTTTTTTAATTGCGCTGAATCGAAGATAATCGTGAAATGAACCCGGTCCTCTTTATGATCAAGTTAAGTGCATTACTTTGCATACACTTTGTGACGAACAAACTTAATCCGGTAGAACATGTAACAGTTAACAGAAAATCTGTATTAGCTCCTGCTATTCTGATATCAGTAAGGTGACAACAACATTAATGACCATTTGTTGAATCTTCTTGAAGTTTCTTTGAATTCCACATGTTAGACAACCCACTTTAAGCAAAAAATGCACAATATTTTTCAACCGATTATGCTTTGTGCATTTGGTTTTCATAGAATTTCCCAAATAAGGTTACGTACGATCACCAACTAACCCATTGTTTAAGAGGACTTTCAGGCCTTCAGCGTTGGTCTTATTCGAGATTTGATCTTTCCAACTCTAATGCAGTCTTTTCAAGCCAGCTAACTTGTTCTTGAAATGTTTCGGCATATTCAATTCTAGAATTAGATCTGACCCTGTAGTTTTAGTCCTGATGAGCATAAATATTCTCTTTCTCTTGAAAATTGCTAAGGTCGAAAAAATCCTATGTTGTCCACTCAGAACTTCCACACATAACTTTATTTACTAAAAAAATGTTATCTAGCAATCATCATGTAATGCTGAACATTTAAGCACTAGTCTATTATATACAAAATCACAAGGATATTTTAGTGTAAGGGATAATCTTTCACTGTTTCATGTGTATTACGAAGTCAGGTATATCCATTTTCAAGTAGGAAGCTTTTCTGATGGGATTCGTAGGCATAGTTGCTTTCGAAAAAAATTGACGTCTGTATGTTCATAATAGAGGCATCCTTTTTGTAAGCATGCATGTATCCTCTGTATAGTTCTTGATATTAAAATGTTCCATCTTAATAATGACATGGAACAATTTAAGTAGAATTTCATTATCACTCAGGAACCTCATCTAATTTTATGTGAAAGCAAATGGATGATAAAAAAAATTCTGAACATTAAAAATTACTGAGAAGTAATGTTATATGAATACAACAGAAACTGAACTATTGACCTGTGGCACTGCTCTAGCAAATTGATCTGTAATCTATTGAGCCATCAAATAATATAAAATTAAACCAACGAGCTTTAGCTAATATTGGAACATGATCTTTTTTAGAAAAGTAGATTAGCATAGATTTAATTTTTATTAGGTAGACTTTTCTAGGCTTAAAGTTGTTTTATCCATGGAATTTAGTTTTAACTTTCAGTAAATGCTGGGTCAAGGGTTTTAATTTCCCAATCTACAATCCTCTTTGTGATACCCGATAAATGAAGAAACAAGGGAAAGAAGGGAGAATAACTTCTTGAAACTCATGAGTTGTACTTGACGACTCTAGTCTCAAGTTTCCTGTAACAAATAGGGAATTTATTTCATCAATCTGAGTTCTTTCTGGAGACTTGATTTGAATAACATGTTTGTAAATGTGATATCTATGTGTGTTATGCAAATATAGGAAACATGATATTCTGGAGATTTTCTTTCTTTTTTTTCTTACCGAATGATTGAATTCATGTATATATTGAAATTTATGTGGTCACATGTCTGGAAACTTCTAGGATGACCCGAATCTGAGATGATGTCGATTTCAAGCAGCATATGCCTGTGCTCTTACAAACAATCGCTTCTTCCTGAAGATGGGCAGATCAAAATAAACATATAGAAATTCTGGATAATCACGATGTCAGTGGAAACATAAGAGTTTCTTCTCTGCTGTGAGTGTGACATTAGATTCGACCTACTTTGTATCGATCATTTATTTCTTCTCTGTGGCTTCTTTTTTCTGTATTTTTTCCTCCAATTTTATTTGGTTAATTTTATTTAAAGCTTGAAAACTTGTACTCCATCATGTTTGGTGAATGGATTTTAGAATTTGCATCTACATATTCGATATCATGGAACTCTTTGTTAGCCTTCGCCACTGCTTCTGGTGAAGTATAGATACATCTAAACATTTCATGCAAACCAACTTTCTGCAAATTGTAAATCAAAACCGAACTTCTGCAGTATTTTTCTGGCGAAACTTTTGTATATGAAAATATTCAATCCATTTTTCAATTCATACTCAAATCTAACTCAACTTTAAACTAACTTTACTATCTTCAATATAATAAAATAATATTAACTAATCATTCTTGTACATCACATCAATTTTAATTTAGTTTTCACTCACTCACATAATTTTAACTACTACTCCACATTATTTCTCTCATACCTTTACATCAAATTAACTATAATTCTTTTATTATAATTATTATTTTAATATAAAATCAAAATCTCACTAACATCTTACCATATCATTTTTTTTTTCAAAATTAATCTTGGTTAATAAAAAAAACTCATTTCGAACGGATATATTTGTTCCGTGTTTGGCCGATTTAGTCTAATGTCGCATTTTCTCAATTTCTCACTTGACACCCACATGCCATTTGCTTAGTTAAATGGAAGTAAGCTAAGAAGAAAAACCATGGTTCTCATAACCGGACCGGACAGGCCGGTTCAACCGGTTAGACTGGGAACTGGCCTTCATTCAGGTCCTATTTGCTTAATCGAACCGCCTAGTTTTTGAACCGGTCAAAAACCGTTTGAACCGCTCCAAAATCGGTTGAACTGGTGAACATGGACCAGTTCGAATTGTTCAACGATTCACTTTTTGAATTTGGAATTGGTTCACTATGAAATGATTAAAATAGCATACTTTTTTTACTTGTATTTCCAATGTGGATATGCCCATTTGTTAAAATGATTGGGCCAATATTGGGCCTTATAAGCAATATTGTACTCATTAAAAAATGTATTATCTTTTAAATTAGACTATTTATTAGACTTTATTTGTTATCAATTTATTAAAAAAGAAATAATCAAATTATTGTTGTTTGTTATGTATATTATTTTTATTTTTTTAATCAATAATAAAAAATTTAAAATGTAATTAAAAATGAAAATAGGGTTGTTTCTATTCTCCCTATTTTGTAACTTATATATAGATAAAAAATTTAAATATACAAAATAAAATAAAATAAAAACTTATAAACATTAATCAACATTATCGATCACATGTATCATTGAGTTATTATTTAGAGAAATTCCATACATTGTTAAATTAATAAAATTAATGATAAAAATATATATAATTACATATTATACATATAAAATAAATAAAAAATATATGCTAATTAAAACGGTTCGACCGGTCGATCATTGGTCCGACCAGTGAACCATTGAACCAGTATCTTCACCGGTTCGACGACCGGTTCAATTTTCAGATCCATGAGAAAAACATGATAAATTTGAAAAAAAAAAATCTGGATCCTTGATCAATCGCGGCCATGACTCAAAGTTCAAAATTGTTTGAGAGGTTTAGCAATGCATTGGGTGACAAACAAACTCAAAATTCAAAATTGGTCGAGAGGTTTTGCAATGCTTTGAGAGAAACAAACTGATTGGAGCCTTCAATATCGGCTATGCCGTCCATTGGGAATCGAACATGGAACATCAAAGTTTATGCGGTAGAGCAGGGACGGATCCAAAATGTAAGGATAGACTGGTCTATAATTTTAAAAACGCATTTTCAAAAAAAATCAGGTTTTTTTTCTTCAAATATTCATTGAAGTTGTATTCGACAAGCTTTTACAGAATAAATTCGTTATGCTCATATTGCATCATATTTGATGTGTTTCACTAGTTTGATATTACTTGATTTTTCTTTTATTGGTTGAAGGCTGGTGCTATATGTGAATTTTTAAAAGTACAACAATACCAATAAATTGATTTTTCATAGGGCATTTATTAGCAAAACGGAATGATTACTAATCACAAATTAAATCTAAATATGATATACAACTACACTAGAGGATAAGAGATTTTAAAAAATACATAAATGCACAATTACTACTTCATACACAGTCAACAAAACAAGAATTTCAACCAAATAATCTTAGCAGTTACTACTAAAACCTTAAATCAGCTAAAATGAAAAGATAAATAAAGACAATTTGACAAATAAAAAGAATATCTAATATAGGATTTAAGAAATATAACTTACTATTAAAGAGGAAATTAAATAATCTTTTGAAAGTAGTCTATTTCTTGTTGAATAGTTTATTTATTTATTTTTTGTTCTTCTAAATTCATTGTTCTGGTGTTTAGAGAAGGAGCATGGCCGCCGCCAATTTATTTTATTAGAGTTCGGTGTAGAATAGAGTTTTGTGGGTTAGTAACTAGTGGGAATGATGTGTCAACAATATATAATATTTTATTAGAGTGGTGTTTGTAGTCTTTAAACTTAAATAGATACGTGAATTATTTTGATAGATCAATGAATTAGTTTATTGGGTTGGGCTAGAAAAAAATATAAAAATACAAATTAAAACTAATAGGCGTTAAATAAAAATTAATAAGCCTGGGCTTCAGCCCAGCCCAGGCCCAATTAAGATCCGTCCCTGCGGTAGAGTAACTGTACATATATCCATATCATTTTGTCACAAAAAAGTTGCGATGCACTCATTTAACTTTTTTTCTCCTTTCACACTTTCACTACCAGAAACCTGAGCACTGACAAATATTGCTATTTGTCCTACCCCCACCTCGAAATCTTCTGGTTGAGTCATAGTGATCTTAACCTGGTGAGCTTGTGATGCTTCCTCTAATTGTTGTGCCACTCTCTGACTCCATTTTAGTTTTGTTTTTTCCACCACCAAATGCTCTTGAAAAGCCTCTCCTTTGAATATGCAGTTGTTCCTAGCCCTCCAGATGTTCCACAGGAGGTACACTGAGATAGTAATCTTGTCTTGCAAAGATTTAGCTAAGTTTATACTGCACACAGCTTCCCACCATGCAAAAGTTTAGCTAAGTTTATGCTGCACACAGCTTCCCACCATTGTTTGAAGGCTCCTGTCAAGTGCTCCATGATTCTCCATTCCACTCCCAACAGTTTCCAGCACGTTCTAGTTTTCTCACAGGTGAAAAAGAGATGCCCACTCTCCTCCTGTTCCTCTTCACATAGCACACACCACTCATCTACTGTTAGTACTCTTCTCCTCATTTGACTTCTGGTTCCCAGATATCCATTATATAGCCTCCACAGAAAATTTCTTATTCTTCTTTGCACAGGCAGCTTCCAGGTTTTTCTCCACAACTTCAATTGTCGATCATTTGTGTTGCTTGTCCCTTCTTGAGCAACTGAGAAGTTTAAGATAACTGCATATGTGGCTTTAACAAAGAATTTACCATCAGCACTGAAATGTCAAACTAATTTGTCCTTTTTGTCCAAGTGGCTCAAATGAATTTTCTTGATAGAAGGAGCATCATAAGGACAAAATGTTTGATCAAAAAGTTCTGTACCCCACCAAAAGGCAACAAAAGATCTAGCCCAATCCATACATATAGATAATGGCATCTTGGAACAAGACATCACATAGACAAGTAATGAGCTCAACACAGACTGTACTAAAACTTTCTTTCCAGCCTCAGACAAGAGATTGTTTTTCCAGTTTTTTTTTTTTTTT